ATGTAGTGCTCTGTATACCTCGTAGCTCATGAATATGTCCTGCATACAACCATAACGGCGGCATACACTGAGGCTCAAAAATCTGCGGAAAGCGAGGCAGCGGCTAGATGTCTAGCTACCGAACGTGAGTAGTGATATTGGATATAGAGCCGGTGAGCGTCTCACATTATTTACAGGCTCAACAAAGCATATGGGCTCCCTGGGAGGTACTCCATTGCAAGGAGGCTTCTGTGACCTTGTTAGGCAGCATCAGTATGAGGACACTGATGCAAACAATGACACAACTTTCCCTTCATCATCAGAATTGAGCTCGAATTTCTCTTCAATTTTCTGCTCTCATACTGGTAAATGCCAAAAACAGAGAAGAGAGTCTGACATGAGAGCAATGCTGGATGAGGAACTTGGGGTATGAAACATCTTGAACAGGGATGCTGATGGAGAGCCTGCTATGAACAATTTGGGGACAATGAATGGCACAGGGAGGTACCAACCAGATTCACTTACTAGTACTGTACTCGGAATATGATGCATATTGCTATATTGACAAAGGGGAGTGGTGAGAGTAGGCGAGAGGGTAGGAGGACAAAGGCGGGTTGGCAATGCGGTCAGAGGGATTGGAGCGCTGATCTTGCATTATTAGAAGATAGTATTTATGCTGAGGAAACCTTATACCAAATTTCAAGTCAAACGGACGAGCGGGGAGAGCTCGACAATTCAGACCACGGGGAGGACGAGCGGACAGAGGGATTAGGGGCTGACGTAGGGGAAGAGCGTCGTCGGAGCCGCTGGGTCGCTGAAGGTCGTTGACAGGCATGTGAGCGTGCGAAAGTTTACCGTTGGCCTTGTCGACATGTCGACGGGTTTACTATACCTGTCAACCTGGTCAACGGTTGCGTCAATCCGCACATCACTGCTGGGTCGGCATCCATCTCCACCATGGCAAGTCCCTCGCAGCGTTCCTGAAGGCCATTGGTTTCACCCTCTCGCTTATGGATGGCCGAGACGTTGCCAGTGGGCAGTTGGAAAGAACAGTTCGTGGCCGCTACAGGCGAGCTCGCTCAAGCAGTGAGTGGCGAACGGCCGGCCGACCCGGCGGTTCACGTGCCCGGAAGCTCCGACGTTGATGTTGCCTTGGCTTGACCCAGGGTCTGACCCCAAGGGGTCTGACCTGGGTCAAGGAGGGGTCTGACCCGAGTCTGACCCAGCCGAGCACATGTCTGCTCTTCACCTCCTTGTTGAAGACATTCCTCCTAGACCATCTTGTGAATCACTTGATCTGCTGTGGCACTGGTTATTGACAATGCAAGGCGTATGACGAGTATAGATCTGGCGAACTGGCTTGAATCTGATGCCTATGTATGCGCATGTGCTTGATGATCGTCGCTGACGATTTTCATGTACATCATGTAGACCTCACAGCTCTTGTACAGCTGCTTGTGCTCAACAGTCCTGACGGTGGTATGGCTGTTCGGTGGCTGTATAATTAAGATGTGATCACTTACGGATTTTTTGCTTTGTCCTTAGCTCAAGCCGCTTCCCACGATATGTGTTCCGAGTCGGGACAGGACGATTCTGCGCGTCCTGTGGTTGGGGTCAGAATAGGAACACGGTACGTGCATATCGTATTCTCTGTCTTGGAGAGAGCATGTTGGGACACTGGTGAGTCGGTCATTGTAACTACGGAAGGTCCTGTAGTGACTCCCTGTTCCTCTATACTCTGCTTATCTGTGGCCATCAATTTGAAGAGGAGGGAGCGATTCTCCTGGGTCGGATCTGTATCTTGTGATTAGTTCCATTCCATTGTATGTAAAGGTATTTGGCCTGCCCTGAAAATGTCTCATAGGCTGTGTTTTGATAGATGCAACTGTCAGTCGAACATCCTGCCCTCGCGTCCGTCAGGAAGTTGTTCAGCACCTTTGTGCTTCTATGACACACTGCAGTGCTGCCGTGTGAGCCGTCCCGGAAACACCGTAGGTCACCCTTCCCGAGCGGGGCTCCGCCCCACGCAAGATGGTCCCGGAACATGTTCTCGTCGTCGTCTTGCTCTATATTTTTGGTCCTAGTGCCAGACGTCGTCCCACGAGAACTGAGGTTCTCATCCTGTGACCAACCATCGAGATGGGTACCAGTGAGCATCTTTCGGAGGTGTCCACAGTAGCCTCCCCGTCGTCTCGCATCAGAGAATGCTGAACTGCTCAGATGGAAGGCAGGCTTGTGTGGGTAGCTTGTTCCGACGCTGTCCTCCCGGCGTACTGCTGAACATGACTAGAGACGACTATAAGCAAGATGCGCCGGACGATCTTTGTTCCCACGGACGCCAGTCGCCCCTTCACCGTGCCGGTCGCGCAATTTTCTTCTCTACAATGAACATCTGGGATGAACATGCTCCTGGGGATCTCATAGTGTAAGCCCCACAGATTGAACCTGTGTTGCTCTGAAATGCATCCCGAACTCAACTGTCGGCAGTGCGCAGTCAGATTACACTATTCGCATCGCCTCTGCCATGGCCTTTGGTGAGCGTGTCCTTCTGACATATGCCGGTAAGCAGAATACTGACCTCGTCGTTCGCCAGCTATCCTTTACTTCGATTATGCGCTTACACTGGGCCGCGAGGTGGAGCGTTTCTGGAAGGGACGCTTCTCTTTGGCGTCGTTCGTGTTCTACCTCAACCGATATCTATCTCTGATCGGACATATTCCTGTCATTTATGAGTTCTATTGGGTAGATGATCAATCTGTGAGCATTCTACCGGTTCTTCACGCCGTCTCATGAGATTGATCATATGGTGCACGAAGGTGTGAGTGCTGTCTCGTTCAACACGGGCAACATTCAGCTGAACTAGGCCATCAATAAGCTGCTCGAAATTGCAGATGTATCATCAGATGCTCGCCGGTGTCACTCAAGTCATCGTCGGAGGTATGTCGAGCTACGCGTACCTGAGTTGAGTAGGGCTCAGCGGAGGTACTGATTACAGAGGATAGGCCTGCAGTTGTTCCGAGTACGTGCCCTCTACGGTGGCGCGAGATCCGTTACACTCTTTCTATTTGCACTCTGCGTCGTGGGATGTGCCATCAGCGGGGTAGGTAATCTTAGGCTGTTGTGAATTGTGCGCTCATACAGAAACCCCGCCTTGTATCCGGCAGTGGTCAATCAGCAAAACCTGGACCACACCCTCGCTGCTTAAGAAGAGTGTACCTGGTGTTGGATGCGACTTAATTATGTCGAGAACACAGTGAGAATTATCTCTTCCTCCTGAGGCACTCACGGAACATAGAAATCAAAACTCAAGGGGCAACTGTAAGCGCTATCTCTTCAGTGGTAATCTCGGATCCATTGCTGACTGTGTAGCGTCGCGGCAGATCTTGCAGTGGTCTGGGTCACCATCCTTGTGTTTGACCTAGCGGTTTTCGCTCTCACCGTATGCCGGATCGTTCGAATTGAACCGAAATTGCGCGGGAGTCTCTTCACTGTGTTGCTGCGCGATGGTGAGAGCAACTTACCCTTCGTACCTCCCTACATTTGCGCTGACATTTGATCCTCAGGGTCGTTCTACTTCGTGTACGTTTATGACAGAATTCCTTATTATAATGCTCAATCGAATGACTGTGGCAGGGTCCTTTTCATATGTCACTTATCGAACATCTTGACATGCTTGGTATGCCTTTTCGTATCTATATCGGAGGCGCCTGTCCTGATGACAGTACGTGAACTATAGCTTGCCCAAGTCAGCATCTGATTCTGGTCAGTTCTACATACTCATTGTGCTTCTCTGCAGCCTGCTTACAGGGGAGTGAGTGTCACGACGACAAACGTGTGCATACAGCCTTTCCAGCACCTACTATACCTACTGACGCTCACCTCTCAGCATATCAAGTTCCCTGATTACGCGTCTTATGTTGAATATACGAGACCCACACGTACTCCAACGGTATAATTGGTGTTCAGACACCAGCGAGTTGACTTGGCACTCTCAAGCGACGCGACTTCCAGACAATCCGGTATGACCGTCATGACGGTTTCAAGTGTCAGGATCATACATAATTCCATAGTCGCTCTCGTGACGTACAACCGTTCGTGTACGATATTGAATAGAAGCCTCATACCTTGTAGTGTATGTTCGTATACCATATCTTTCTCTTCAGTACCTCGGAAATACTCAACGGAGGATCTTGGGAATTTCTGAGACCACCATCCGTTGTCAAGTCGTAGACAGAGTCATGGACATGACATCTCCAATTGTTGTTGTAGCGTGTCATGATATTGATGTGATTGATCGTAGCACGCCTCCGTCCTCCGTGTTGGGACCACATATCTGTTCTGGCCACATTCACAAAGACACTTTGTTTAGGGCCCTTGGTCTAGTGGACAGTACTCGTGAAGGGTCGACTCCTTCGTCGTCGCGTAGATCTACAAGGACATCATATCTCCAGGTTCTTCGGATGCAAGATGTGTCCAATTATTCTGGGCTAGCTACTCACAAGGTAAATCGGGAGAGCTGCCTGATTATAACACAATATCAGCCTTGAGGACGATCGGCACAGGTCTACCTCAAGTCGCAATTGCCAGCCATCTCCATCGGGAAGGATAGCCTGACACAAGCTCTTTACTTATCCTCTGCTATACCCGCTTGAGGACGCTGCAAGAGGATGCTTCGGCAGAGATGATCATGTCGGCCGAGGTGCGACATAGAAGATGTCAATGAGGGAAGATGTCGACGCAGTTGGATAGGTGTTCTCACGCCTTTTTCATGTTCCTCTGCTTGGCCCCTCCCCGTCCGTGTCCTCAGCACCCTACGTATAACTTCGACGTCATTAGTCTGCCAATAGGGTTCTTATACTCACTTACTGGCATCTGGGTACTCATGAAGACTGATCGAGGTGTAGAAACCCAAGCATCGACATTGAGAAACGGTGTTGACGCCGTTAGAACCTAGAAGTTGGCACACAGGTGTGTAGACTGGTATTGTAACGGTGGCGTCACGGATGACGCACCGTCACAGAGAAGTACGGCAGTACCCGGCTTAGTCACCCGAAGTAACGGTGCTTAGTGGCTGTAACGGGCTGGGAAAGTGGGACGGGTAGTCCAACGGTTGTGCGTGGTGCAATTCCCGCACGTTCCATTTTCAGCTAGTCGTTACAGGTATCTCCCATGAGTGCAGCTCATCGTTGATATCTTTCCCCAGGCGATGGTCGGCAAGTCACAGCTTTGGAAGGACACTGGTGAGTGATTGCCATCCACTGTTCCTATAGTAGTATCTCATCATCTCCGACTTCACTTTGGGGAACTGAGCCTCTCCGTTAACTGGATCCGGGTACACTCTGGGATGCGAGCTGATCCTAAAGCTCCACTTGGTATTTGTGGACAGTTGAATGTGCTGTATGGGACCGTCCGATGCTATTAAAGCTTGTTTAGAAGCCTAGTAGGCACTGTGCAGTACAATCAACTAGGGCTGTGTACGGCCCATTCCCTAAGTATCACTGGCCTGTAGTGGTACATTCCATACACACGTAAAGTCCCATCATCATCCTTCCTCTGACCCTCCACAGACCAAACACACTCCGACAGTCTGCCTTATGAATACCAGTTCCGATACATCAAAGTACGTCTCCCTGAGCAATGTAACATGTGGAGATTCAGTTGACGTTGGGATGCTTTAGCCTCTCCGGTGCTCAATCTGTATTTCTCATTCGCATATACGCCTCTCTCTCACTTTGTAAGTGTTTTATCTGAACCCACGAGTACGTTTAGGTGATGTTGACGAACATTCTAAGCGATACTGTACTATGACTATGCTTTGACCATTGGGGCAGAAGTGGAACAATTTTGGATGCGGCGCCAGTCGCTCCTGTCTCTGTCACGAACCGCCCTCACGGCGCTATGTTTCCTTTTCGATTTGGACCATTGCCTCGTACGTTTCCTTATTGTTCACTACTCACTATGGTTTCCCTTTGTCCGCACACGGACAATAGCTCCCTTTGTCTCCATGTCCGCTATTGTCCTACACCCCTTGTACTCTGTACCCATGGCGACGCTATTGTTCTCTAGCGCCCATTGTTCATTCCCTGTATATAGCTGGATCTCTTGCTACCTGGAGACTCTAGTTTCGACCTCTTGTCTCCAGGTAAGCCATCGTGTATTTCGCTCTGTAGATACTTCACTCAATACACAACTTGTCTCCAGTCCTGCCTGTTGAGCTCCGCTCCAGTCTCACTGCGATCAGAGCTCGTCGGCGCTCCTGCCTGCCTCGCTCGTCTCCACTTACTCGCTCGACAGTCAGTCGTAACATTAGGTAGAAACTACCTCACAGGCACCAGCGCCCTCCCACGTTGAACACTCTGTTTATCACTGTCTCCCCCACCTTTTCATCCTGGATTGTAGCCCGTTTTTCCACGGCTTTCATCCCATCGCCGTAGAAGACCAGCACTACAACCACTAACTATCAGCGGTGGC